ACAAAACAAACAAAACAAACAAAACAAACAAACCAAAGATACCAAGGATACAAAGACACAAAACAAAAGAACACAAAACAAGCAAACAAGCAAACAAGCAAACAAGCAAACAAATGCACACACACACACACACAGTTCTCTGAGCAAAACAACAAACAAAGGACTCTCGGATCTCTACTCGATCTGCGTTCTACAGGGTTGCTCCGAATTACCCACCAAACCAACACCAACCCCTTCTTTAAACTTGGGCGTTTGGGGTGCGAATGGGTGTGTCTTTGTTGGGGGGCCCCCAAATGGAGAACCTTTAAGCACACGTGGGTTGCCCTTCCTTCATACTAAAGATCAATCATGTAGCAGGGAACGACAAAAACAGGTCTGATACTAACCCAAACTCGGTCCTCCAGTAGAGAGGTTAGAATAAGGTAGCCCTCCCGCAACATAAGGGCGAAAGGGCACTACTGGGAGACCTAGAACCACTTAACCACAAGAGGGGAAACATATCCTGTCCTCCCCATAAACATCAACGAAACTTACTCAGGCCCAGGTGTCGATCAACACCACTGAAGGCAATACGGTAAGACTCGGAAAGAAACACGGACATGGAACACAACCAACTTGTGATATCAAGCTGCTGGGCCATCATGACCGCCTTCCATGTTGTTTGTGTAACAACTTAATATATCTACCTTATAAAACTGTGCAAATTGTACAAACAACATATCATAGCATAACATTTATAAAGCAAACAATTGACTAAGTGTAACACCTGTCATAACCCTAGCATAACATGGCCACAGCTTCCGGCCCAGCCTTTCCCGTAGCCGCCACCGCCGCCTAGCCCCCAAGGAGACTCCACAAGTCTCACCCACTTTTCCTATGGTCCAAATCAGTGGTACACCGAAAACATTGCTCTGTATTTTGTGTCTACTCTGAAGTATACATCGCTTTGGAGGAAATGTCACGTGCCATGGAACCCAAAGGACCCCTTGACAGGAAAATTGACCGTTGGACATTCTACAGCGAATGCTGGCGTATCCAGACTCTAGAGTAGATCTCGCGTGAGATCTTGCGCGTCCCGTTGCTCTCGGTCTCTCCAAATGCAAACAGCAGGCTGCCCGTTGCTCTCCTGCCCGTTTGTTTCGAAACTCTGCCAGTGGGATTCAAGGACTCAGCTCTTGGATGAATCAAGCAAAACTCCCCCCAGGGGAAAGGAACAAGAAAGAAGGACAAAGCACATGTGCCTTTGAAGAACTGAGCACGTTTGCACACCTACAGCTCCACGTGGGGTGTCCATCCAATCGCACGCACGCTTTTGCGGCACGCAGGCCTCGCGGACTATCTCGGCTTTCACCTCCACCTTGCCGGCTCAAAGCTCTGGATCTCATGGCTTTCTTGAAGCCCGTGGTTTCTAGGTCAACTTCCCATTGGCATTTTTGGACACCACTTTTGAACCAACAAACATGGGTTCCTGTACCCTCCCGTCCACCAACATAAGTCTGGCTCCATGTTAGTGGATGCAGTCGTACATGTGGCCTTTGACTCTTTCACTGCACTCCCATGCCTGGTCTCTGGCAAGCTGGCATTCAGATTGTTTGTGCATTGGAACGACATGTCGCTCGTGAATGCGAGGAGCTGGTGAGATCAATGAGATCAATGAGACTTTGCCAATAAATCTTTCGGAACCGCTAAACGCCGATCAACATTGAAAGAACAGGAGATAGAACACTGGTTTCGGGCAACCTAGTTCAGGAACCTTTCCTGATCTTACACAGTTCAAGTATGGGAATAAGAGCAACCCTGCAATCTGCAGTTGGTTGGAATGGTTTGGCCAGGAAATCCGTTGCTCCATGTCTAAGGCAAGCACCCATGCCCTTGCCCACCCATCTCTTGGCAGACATTGCGGCGGCAGTCTGCGCCTGAACACGGCTCGGCTCAACTCGGAAGCACATGCGAGTTGCGCACCTCGTGTCATGGTAAATAATATCTAAGTACATCCCCGCGAATCAACATGGAGCCTATCAGTCCAGCTAACTGAGTCTTGCAGAGGCCAAGGCAAAAAGCCCTGACAGTCAGGGCGAAAACCAAGGGGTTCCAAAAAAGAGAGACCTGCTATCACGCTGATGTTGTTTTCTCGGGCGTTCCTTGCCCTAGTCTGCAGTATGTTACAACCTCGGAAGCTTCGGCTTGTTGACGTGACTCTTTGTTGAGCCACAACTAATTAGCTGTCGCATTTTGCAAGCCTGGAACCTACCAATCTGCCAATGTCGTGTGAAAACCTAATTTTAACCCGAACCAACGCGCAAAGCAAACTTCTTCAAGCTCATGGGAGGGTAATTGTTGCCAGTGGCCACAGATTCTGCTGTCAAGGTCCGTAACGCTCCGACAGCCACCGACCTCCTAGCATCAGGTGCAGAAGTTCATGACACGTTCAGGAAATCGCTTGCCAGCTACACCACGTTGGCTCCAGTGAGATACTGTGCTAACAGGTGTGTTGCCAGCCCGTGTCTTGTTTCCATTATGGGTGTGTCTCAAAATGAGGGCCCTTTTAGGCGGATGGTTTCCTTTTGGTAGGGCTCCCACCCAGATCGTGCTTCCTGAAGCACGGCAACACACACCGGATGGCCAGATATTACGAGTGCTCTCCAAATTCAGGTCACCTTTCAAATTGTGATACAGTCCTTTCCCAACTCTGACCTCATCTAACAATGAATACTGAAACGGAAAAACTCAAAATGATCCGATGTCTTGACCCCATTATAATATTTCACATGGAGCCCAAACAAGCATTAACCCTGGATAGATGCTTTCTCTGAAGAAAAGGACACTGCTTGTCTGTTTGATTCTTCAATAGCCCCTCATTTCAAAAACCATCATTCAATCCTCACCAATTGAACGGGTTGTTGCACACACCAAGATTCTGTCACGTCCCATGCTATAACACATGCCTGGCTTCGATGATCGCCTTAAACGCGCGCGCGTGACTCAACTGAGAAGCGCTTCGGTCGCTAAGCTTACTTCCCACTGGGTCGCAGGTTAATACCTGAGATCACCAGGACGATCCGTCCATCAAACCTCGCCTTTGTTCACACCACTCTGCTGGAGATATCTGTTCTGAACAAGGCGTGGTCACATGATAGGGGTACGATTTCAATTAACTCTTCGCTGAACCTAGTTTTCCATGTGGATCTATGTCCACCTTGTGTGAGGGTATTCCGTTTTGAAACTCAGAATGTCAAATCCCATGTGTCAAAATCGCGGACCCTAAAACATGGTGGTTCTCCCTTTGTTTGCTCTCTTCCCTGTTCACCAAGCTGACAAGGCCACCAACACGCCAAAAACCGCCACCCCGAATAGGTCCACTCCAACCTCCGGGGGACCCGGCGGCCGCCCCCTTGCCACCGCCGCCTGGGCAGGTAAAGCGGCGCTGGCATGCGACGCCCGCGCGCAGGTTGGGAGTTGGGAATTCGACGAGATATGGGTGTCTTTTTTTGGTGGTACCCTTTTTGGGCTTGGTTTGAAGGGGAACCAAAAGGAAACCAACCGTTTTTTGGGGTTCCCTATTTTAAGACACGCCCATATATAAAGCTCCTGTAATTGATGGGGCAGGGTACTTAGTAAGTGGGCAGTGACATGGTTGCAGGGTCGGCGGATGGTTTTTCAATTGTTGCATTTACCTATTGAATCCATGGCCACTTTTGTAGGGTCCAAAAAGGAAAACCGAGGAAACACAGTTATAGCCCACTTACCATGAGTATAAGTTCCCTACATGGGTGACAACCATCAGAAAGCTTGGTACAGCTCGGTATGGGTGTCTTTTTTGAGGGTACCCCAAAAACTGATACACCCGTAGATGCCTTTGTCCCTTGACTCTTGGGAAAACAAAACGGGGCAATTTGTAAGTCTCACTTCCTGGTTGAAGCTGCTTCAAAAAACTGATCGTGAAGAAGAGACTTACATCTGTGGATGAAAGCATGTTTGCCCGCATTGTAAGCATGAACACCTGGCAATCCCTGCCTCAATTCTATTGCTTACTTCATAGTCAGTCACCAGCACGCAGACTGCATGCCAACTCTGTCCAAACCGCCGCCCTCGCCAGTCTCTCAATTCTGCTTGCTCCACTGTTCAGTTGGGTGAGCGAGATCAACGTTCCCCATTCAACACCGCAGCTCATCATGACATTCGCCCACACAGAATTTGAGCCTGTAAACCTCGCGTGCTGATTTCTGCGTGGGTGGGTGCCCACCCATTGCAACATGACCCCACTGCCGCACTGCACGCGTGCGGTCTTAGCCATGGTAAAACCATCCTACAACACTCCAAGCGGTACTCCTGGACAGCGCTCCTTTTCCATGACCTCCTGTTTGTGCCTAGCCTGTTTGATTCAAGAAATTGTGCTCTCATGGAAATGCTCCAGCCACACCGCCACAAACATATTTTCCCTTTTGTTTCATTTGCCTTCCCAGGGCCCATGCAGCAACTTCCATTGAACCATCCACTCGAAAGAACACTCACCTAAAAAGGCCCCAAGAATCATGGCGAAACATGATGCCAAATTGCACGAGCTCAGGGGGGGAGCCTATTCCAAATCAAGAAGTGTTTCACGCGACTCGCGGACTGGTTTGAACACTTCCTGAAGCGCCTTTTCCGGATCAAGGACCATGCAACTGCGACCATGAGACTCACTGATTCCTCCGAGGCAAACTGCAACAGAAATAAGATGCCACATGACACATGATGCCAGCAGCAGCACCAACACCACCAACACCACCATCACCACCAACACCACCAACACCACCAACACCACCAACACCACCAACACCAGCAACACCAGCAACACCACCAACACCACCATCACCACCAACACCACCAACACCACCAACACCACCAACACCACCATCACCACCAACACCACCAACACCACCAACACCACCAACACCAGCAACACCACCAACACACCAAGCTAAATCCTTGCACGGAGCACAGCTTTCACAAGCAGACGCATGGAGGCGCTCACTGCCTTGCAAAGACACCCGCGGACGGCGGCGCGCGACCGTGGCGGATGGGGCTACCAGCTCTACGCACTTCTGGAGGCGTTGCGGCTTGGCCAGACTGGGGGATTTGGATGGAACCCAGCTGCTCTATCAGTTTCCTAGCAGGAAGCATCAGAAGGCTTTGGACACACCTACGCTCTTCCCCCCCTACTCTTGGGTAACCTCGCCATTTGGATACATGTTGACCCCAAGCAATGTTTTGGGATTTGGTATGTTCCTTTTTTAAAACTACTTCTGGCTTCACTGGCTTCTGGAGGCGTGAGGCGTGAGGCGTTGCTACCTTGCGGCTTGGCCAGACTGGGGGGGGCCCAGCGGACATGAGTTAGGATTGTGGCTGAATATGTTTCGCAATGTTGATGATGGAAATGGTCCACAATGGCGGCCATTGTTCAAGAGCTATTGTCCAATGAATGGCCTGGTCTTGGGTCACTCCTGGCCTTGGGTCATGCTTGCCCAAGTCGCTTTAACGGCGACGGAATGACTCAACTATTCAGCGGCCCAAACGAATCAACTGGGGAGTCCGAAATGAGGCTGCTGGCCCGCTTGCTTCACAATGCTGAGCGCCTGCCAGAAGTTTTGCGCAGAGCCGCCAGCTTCATCTACGGGCCGGAGGTGGCAGCGCAGGTGGAGCGAGATTTGGCGAACCAGGAGATCATGGTGCCATCAGCGTCAACTCTGAGCAGGATGCGCTTGAAGCTTGCCCCTAGGCAGGCAATGAGCGCTAGCATTGCCGCACATTTGTCAAAGTGTGCCAGAGCGAGTTTTATGTCCCTACCCCCCGGACCCCCTCTCACACCTCACACCTTGGCACCCTCCCGGACCCATCCCGGACCCCGGGCCGGGCCCCCTGACCCCTCATGTTTGTATTTCTGCATTTTGTCTCTGCGCCTGTGTGTTTGCGTGTTTGTGTGTGTGTGGTGCGTGTGTGGTTGTCATAGATGAGACAGACACAGACGAACGGTTTCAAACATGAAGAGAATGAGAGATGAACAAGATAGGGCAGTTATAAATGACAGACACACAATTCCGGAAATGAAAAGGATTAATATCAAAGCCTTAGCAATGCTTTGGGGAACCTGCAAGCAGCAAGACATATTAAATTACAATGACAAGCCGGGAGTGTACATGAGGATGAGGATGAACATGCAAATAATCGGTACCAAATATTTTTTAGCAGAAACAAACACACACAGACACACACACACACACCCACACACGCACGCACGCACGCACGGCACGCACGCATGCGCACACGCACGCACGCACGCACGCACGCACGTACGCACGCACGCACCCACGCACACACGCACGCACCCACCCACCCACCCACCCACCCACCCACACACACACACACACGCACACACACACACACACACACACACGCAAGCACGGACGCACGCACGGACGCACGCACGCACGCACGCACGCACGCACGCAACCACGCACCCAGGCACCCACGCACGCACGCACGCACGAACGCCTACGCACGCACGCACGCGTACGCACGCACGCACGCACGCACGCACGCACGCACGCACGCATGCGCCCACAAACTTGATTTTGAGGCAGTACAACGCTCTCCGTGCGGAGCTCTTGGTCAACTTGCGCAGAGTAGCTTGCACAGAGTCACCAGCATGGAGATACCAGCATGGAGATACTCGCGCAGAGTTACTAGCACAGAGTAGCTTGCACAGAGCTACCAGCATGGAGATACTTGCACAGAGTCACCAGCATGGAGATGCCAGCATGGAGATACTTGCACAGAGTCACCAGCATGGAGTCACCAGCATAGAGTACTTGCGCAGAGCCAAGTGCAAAGAGCCAAGCGCATGGAGCCAAGTGCTCAGAGCGAAGTGCAAAGAGCGAGGTGCAAGGAGCCAAGTGCACAGAGCTAAGTGCTAGCCCGCCTCATCAGGAACGCCAGCAGCTGGCAGAGGTACTGAACGTCAAGTCGTTTTCTGTGGTGGCGTCCGACATCATAATTCACGATGGGATTTTGCCACTCCTGATATATGGTGAATGCCACGCCTCGCGCCTAGGCAGACTCACTAGAGGATGTGGCGTCCCAATCCGCATCACGAGCGCTGCTCGGGCGTCTTCGTTGGCTCTCGTCCCACGCAGGCTCCAAGAGCCCCCTGCGTTGGAAAAGTCGCAGCCGTTCAAGCGGGGGAGGCCAAAAGGACATTGCGTCACGCGAAGTTGCTGATCAGGCTGGATATCACGAGTTAACAGAGAGCGCCCCCTGCTGAAGAAACAAGTTGTCGTCCCTGGGTAGACAGGGACTCGGCACACTCACGCACACACACAGAATTGACCGGGCATCAGTGAGACACTTATAGCACATGTGCTATCTCCAAACGAGGGACCGTGCTGCCAAATCGGAAAAAAGCAACCTGAGCGCGCCCAGGACGCCATCCTCATGGCTATGCGGCAAAGGCAGTGGCAGGAAGATCCGCCTGTGTTTGTGATGATATCCACAGATAGTTCGCCGCAGGGGGGCTTGGACTACATCATGTCGATTGAAGACCGGGTTACCCGCGCTGCAGCGGCAGACCTTGTGGCAGCCGCGGATGATGAAGGGCGCCTCGATGAATGGCATGCTGAGGATCGAGTCTTCACTTCGCAGTTGCCCTTGGCCATCTCTGGATCTGGCAACTCGGGGCTTTCTGGGAAGTATGAAGCTCTGTTCCACTCTGTCAAGCTCGACATCGGGAACAAGCCGAGCGATCTGCAGCGCTACTCTATGGGGTCATGCGTAAGCTTCACCTCAGACTATGGCACGGAGAGCTTGTTCACGGAGGTGCCACCTCTTTGTGTGGAGGACTTGCTAGCAACAGCGCGCCTCCATTCTGGAAATGTGCTTGCAACTCCGCCGACGCCAGCGCGGCCTTCAGCCGGCAGCGTTCGCCTTTGCCTGCCGGATGATGATGATGATGGTGCGCCAGGCCTGCCTGGACCTGGGCCTGGGCGATGTGAGCCTGAGCCGGAGCGACACTTCTTCGCTAATGCTCCCTGGCCTAAAGCACGTCTTTGACAATGTCAGCGGAGACGTTCTTGGCTGGATGCGGGGCTTCCGGGACTGGCAGGAAAAGCTGCAGTCCTTGAACATGCTCCTCTACCAGAAGTACTACAGGGACCGCGTCAAGGTGCTCTTTGACAGGGACCCGGTTTGGAAGCGCCTCTTCACGCACTATGAAGGCGGTAACCTCATCCTTTGGAGGTGGGGGAGCCTTGTTGAAGTCTGCGAGGCCATCCAGAAGAGGGAGGGAGCCTTGAAGGCAAGATGGAGCCTGAGCAGTTTCCTGCGCGTCGGCCACAACCTGCCCGCTGAGGATGACGAGGAGGGACCAGCTCCCTTCGCGAGGGCAACCGCCACTGCCAACTTCAACCTCGCAGATGAGGCCATCAGGTCTCCGTACTTCTGGTGCTACTTGAGGATGATCTTGCTTGTCCACGGCATGATCAATGACTTGGGCACATGGGCTGAAGGGTGTTCCTGTCATGGCTTCAGCCGAGGAAACTGCCAGCTCAAAGGGCGACGGTCCGCGGAATGCGCAGCAGGAGTGTACGACGACTTTCTGGACACCACGCTAGCAGTGGCTTCAAGCTTTTTCGCAGTGGCAGTTGCTGGCCTTGCTCCCGAAGGAGATGAGTGGAACAACTTGCACTCGGATTGGAACTGCGCCTTTGACGTGATTGCAACAGAGGTAAGGACCAAATGCGCCCACTGGCGCCAACTTCCCTGGCTGCTGTGCGGGGTCTCGCTACCAGAACAGGAACACGCCCGTGCCATTGCTCGCAAGGCCATTCGCCTCCACGACGACGAGTCAAAGATGGATGCGCTCACGCTTGCAGGGCGCAAGCACCCGCTGTCCCAGCGCTTTCTACGGTACTCCTTCACGCCTGTGGATGGCGACCCTGACGCCGTGCCTTTGAGGCCGGGCGTGCCCAAAGAGAGTTGCGGACGTTTCCTTTGTAGGTGGTTACGGTGCGTTGTGGCATGTCCAGAGGATGTTTAGATAAAGAGAAAGAAAATATAAGGAGGAAGAGGAAGAGAAAGATACATACACACAGAAAAGAAAAGAAAAAATGGACAAGATAACATATAACAAGGTGCACGGGAAACAAAAATTGGTAGATTAAAAAGAGAGAAGACACATATCAACAAGATACTGAGACAAGAGACAGATAAGGAGAAGACATGACTGATCAAAGATAAGAGGAGTAGAGTGGGAACTGAAGAAGACAGAAAGGGGGAATATATGATTGAAACTCCCCCCCCTCCCCTCGGCTTCGCCAGCTTTACGTGCATTTTTGGTGGACAGTGCAAAGTAGAATCTCATTTTTCGGCGGATGCCGCGGATGTGATGTGGGTCATGTGACAATGTGAGCATGTTTGTTGGCGCACAGGCCACAGTTGGATCTCTTCGTTGAAGGAGCGAGCATCAGATCGCCTGATCTTCAGCGTCTACGTGAGTGGCTGGGCGCTTTGCGCCTCGTACGGCTTGTGGAGCGGGCCACCGAAGTCTCCTGGCCTGCTAATGTTGTGTGGCTGGCCCCTTTGGTGACAAGCCCGCAGTTGACGGCAGTTGGCGCCAAACCCAGGCGGTGCAAGCATGTAACCCTTGGCGTAGAAAAGGCCCAACAAAACTGGGGTCGCGGTTGTTTGGCTGGCTGGCTGGTTGACCACTGGTTGACGCTGAGGCACAGCACAAAGGCGTCAAGCAAGTCTTGGCAGATTCCCCAAGGGCGTCTGAAGCCTACATCTCCGTGGAGGGGAGAATGCCGTTGATCAATAAGATGATAGGGAAGGACGCCGAGGCCGCCAAAACCTCAACTGTCACATGTTTGCTTCCTGTTAAACCACTAAGCGGCTTTGTGTCTGTGAGCTCACGCGGGACCGCAGGTAGTTGTTGTTTCTTGCGACGGCAGCCGCTCGTTATCCCAACATGTTTGATGAACAGTTACGTATGCGGTTCTTTGTGTGCGTGTGTTCGCTCGTGCATGCTTGAACTTGCCCAACGTGTTTCGTTTCATGTTTACACCCTGGCTTTTTTTGCAGTCTTTGAAGCACGCAGCGGAAAGTAATGCGGCCCTGGGAACTCACGCGGGTCTTTGCCAAAATGGTTGGCGGAGCGCAGTGTGAAGCCTGCCCCGCAAAGTAAGCGCTCTTTGTTTTCAAATCTTTAAGCGTTTCTTTCCCAGGGACTTGGGGCGGGGTGGAGTTACATGTGTCTTAGCGCGATTTTCCAAGCCATGGTTGTTTGCTGTGACAGTGCGCAATGGGTCGTGGGGCGCGGGTCGGTGCAGAAACCGACATCTGAGGCACTGGCGGTTTCACCAGCAGCTATTACCCAAAGGCAGCTCATGGATATTGTGTACCAGCGGGCGCTGCAGTTTAAAAGGGGCGCGCAAGCCTCCGCGGTCATCCCCCAGAGCGACACAGCCATCTTGCGGAAGAGCAAACGGCACCTTGCAGAGGAAGAGCGCAAACGAGCTTCACCTCTTGAAAGGCACCAGGGGCACAACGCAACCCTTGGGTAAAGTGGGTAAAGTCTTGAAACCCTTGGGTAAAGCCCATAGCAGCATGTGTTCACACACTCGCGACGCCAGTGTAACGGCTTATTACTGTTGCGCGTGTCTTGCAAACCACACTTGATGAGTTCATGAGCCTTGGAGCATGATGCTGGAGCATCTTCGCAACACTGCGGACTGCCACGAGTACTACTCTCTGCCAAAGGCATTGTTTGATATTTTTCCTCGGCATCGCCTGTGGCTTGCCCGCATTGTGGCAACGATGCTGTGTCACAGTATGAGGGTTCATGTTTGTGTGTGTGTGCGTGTGTTTGATCTTTTTTGTCTGTTTACTGCTCCTGTGCGCTTCGCACTGGCAACTGGCAGATGTATTTCCCCTTCTGCTTTCAGATGTTTTTCGCGCATTGCGAGGGAAGCAGCCTTGGGGCGTGGCGCTGGCACAGCCGCTGGCGGCGCTCCGGCTCCTGCGCTGGCCAACGCGCCTGACAGGCCGGCAAAGCAGCTGAAGCTTGAAGACCCGGATGAGGATGGGGGGGCCGCAGCTGAAAGAGAAGCGGGGGCGCACGCATGTGACGAGCCGGCTGCGCACGACTGCAGCCACATGGTGTTCAAAATTGCTCACAAGCGCCCTTCAGGCTTGAAACGGCTGCTTGGCAAAACGTGTTTGGCTCGTGTAGTATGAACTGAACCCGGGGATTCCAACCACCACCAAAACAGTTGGGGTTCATATAGCAACGATTGTTCACCTTTGTTTTATCTAAATGTGGCCGACGGTTTCTGGTTAATGGGGGTGGACCCTGTAGTGTTTGCAAAGTGCCGGTTGTTCGATCGGCCATGGCCAGGCTGTTTGCCGCCATTTGCTTCCACTACGCGCTAAGTCTGTTTTTGGCAAAGATTGGACTGACTGCAGGCCACTGGCAGCGGTGGATGACCTGAACTTGGGCCATGTGGCGATCCAACTCTATGTGGCAAGCGCTGGCAGAGACGAGGAGGGCACCTTCGTGGAGATTTCTCGAGGTCAGGCCAGAGACGTTTTCCTTCTTGAGTTCCTTGGGGGGTTTTCCCGTAGCGGCGTGTCCGAGCGGGCAGTGATGCAAGACTTCCAGCGCTGGACGTCCAGCTCCAGCACGCCCATGAACATGGACGATGCTGGCTTGTCCGAGGATTGCAAGCAGATTGTCGCTGACATGGTAGCTGCTCGGTCCTTTCAAGGGCTTGGTCGCTCCTTCCGTTTTCACAGCATGGGCCAGAAGGAAGCTGATTGCATGCGCAGCTTGGAGGAGAACGGGCTGGTAGCCCGGGACATCTCTAGTGAAGACAGCTGGCTCCTGACATCCAAAGCAGCTTCCAGCCTAAAGGCCTCTGAACCAAAACTGTTTGAGGATGTCGAGCCAAAAAACGTTAGATTTCTAATCCCTGAAGGTGAGCGTCAAGCTCCGGGCTCCACGGCCAGTGTTTGCACAGCGCCCTGGCACGCCACTGGCAGATAAAACGACCTTCGAGCTACACCTCCAGCTGACGCTGTACGATGGTTTCAGGGAGGTGACCGACCCAAAGGAGATGGCCCGTCTCAAGACAAAGCCGTACACAGCACGGCGAGGACTGTGTTTCAATGTTTAGAGTGTGAGTGCTGTGACCTCTAACCCTCTCCACACAGACCCCTCTACCGCCCAGCTCAGTCCCCCTAATTCGGAACACTACCAGGCAGCCCCAAGGTGATCGTGGGCACGCCGCAGCACGACTACTTGATGGCGTTGGCAAGCGCAGCTCGCCTCTTCAAAGAAGGATGCTCGGGCATTCATCACCTCCAGCTTGCAGCCTACTACAAAGCATTGGTGAATGCCCCCGCTTCTGTTCTGGGCAAGATTGTGCCGGGGAAGTCCGCGGCTTGGTACCGCAGCCAGTGGCAATCTGACGAGCAAGACCAAAGCTGGTTGCCTCTTGGCAGATTTTGTGTGTGAGTATGATTGTTTTGTTTGTTCGCGTTACGAGCGCGATATTGAATGATTTGTCGTTTGCTTTTTGTTTGCGAGCGCCACTTTGAGCCGTTTTGCAAACACAGCGTGTGAGGCTGCGCTTAGAAGACATCGCGGCCGAGCAAATGCTCCGTAGTCTTCAGGATGATGCGCCAGAACCCGAGGCGCCTCCTTCTTCTGAAGATGAGTTCGGCCAGTGGGACGAAGAACGCCTTGTCAGCCACTTCGAGACCCTGGCCGCCCGTGCTGGAGGGCATGCAGATGGCCGCGAGGAAGCTTCTTCGTCTTCACGACCGGCGGCGATGCCCCAGCGTGTCCGGACTCTGGCTGCGAGCGCCCTGAGCGAGGGCACGGTGTGGTTTGGGAGAACGCCCATAGTGCTCAGAACAGACACTCAAGCACCTCAGCTCATGTTGTTCCTGACCATCGGGAAACACTCACCAAACCCTGGTTTGCACAGATCGTTTGTAAGTTGCTGAGTGCATTGTTATTATTGTCATTGAAATTGTTATTGGGTATCAGTCTGTCGCTTTTCGCAGCCCCGCTAATTAAGGTCCCTACATTTTTTGTGATCTGCCGAGCGCACAAGGGGCGCAGTTCTCGAGACGGAAAACTTCGACAATGCAGGAAGGACATCCAAATCAATCAGCCAAGCAAAGATGTTGTACTCCGAAAGCTGAAATGGTGGTTGCTTCTTGGCGCCGTGCCACGCATTAGCAAGTCTGTGCCAAAATGCTTTGCACGTGTTTGTTAGTTAGTTGCCAAGTGGCTCCGGGCTAAAACAACCCGCAATACGCGACATAGACGGCATAATGTGTGGTGCCCAACTAAGGTGCCCGCTGGAAACCAGAGAGTGACTCGGACATTGCGATGGAAACGTGCAGAGAGCGCCACAAGAAGACGGACCGCTTCGTTCGTGTTCGATCGCTAGCTTATTTGTTTCTTTTCCCCCGCAATGAAGGAACCCTGCAGACACTTGCGAAATGCAAATCTATGAAATTGCCATGTCCGGCGTGCAACACAATCCTTGAACCAAGCGGGTGTTGCCCAAGCTGAATCATTTAAGGTTGTATTGCACTCCTGGCAGGAGCTCCCAGAGGAGAAAGATTTGCCGACACACGCTTCCCTGGACTGACAGTCAGTCAGCGTTTGATTTTGGACCTGAAAAGCAGCTGTCCCATCTTTACTGAGCGTTGCTGGCATTCGCAACTTGAAACAAGTTCAGGCTGCCCAAAGGGCACCTCAAGCGTTGAGCCAGTTTAGAGTTCGCCAGGCACCAGGCACCAGGGACCCTGATTTCAGGTTTCCCCTTCCTGCTGCTTGTAGCGCATAATCCACGAACGCTCAATAAGCCAATCAAAGCAATTGCCTTTGTTTTTGGACACCCTGCGACGGCGAGGGGGGAAACTACAGCGGCCCCTGTGAATGCACGTGCTACAAACCATGCATGGAAAGGATGGAAAAGGCGCCTTGGACCTTTGCCATTATGTAGAATGGGTGAATTCGAGCCCTCAAGTCATTCTCATTCCCAACCGTTGGAGTGTTGACGTTGACCGAGCTGGATCGCTTGTGCAGGTCAGCCGTTCTTTGAGTGACTTGCATGTGTGCTTTTGCCGCTGTTCCTTGAGCAACGATTGTCACTTGGTCATTCGAGGAAATTTGACGAATTCCCTTGGGCCTTGAATCACTTGAGTCCTCGAGCCTTGACAATTGTTAATTGTTTGATGACAGCTGACGCCGACGCTTACGCTGCGGCCATCCTTGATCTCAACCTCGTTCATGGCAGGCATGTCAGAGCTACGTGGTTGTGCAATCTAAGTCCAAGCACCATGATTGTGTGTGCAAATGTGCCATCAGAAGTTCAGAAGACTTGGTTTGTGCGAATCGCCCCCTGCCATGCCGCCGAAGCGTCGGAGGCCGAAGGCTTCCGCCAGAAAAGCCAAGAAGGAGAAGAGCATTCCGAACCCCTTTGACCAGCCGCCGCCTGCAGGCCAGCTGTCGCTGATGTCCTTCGCGCCTGTTTCGGGGGAGCCACTCCTTTCCCAGCCGGGTGAGGCGGACGCAAGCGCTGCACGCGCTTCCAATGTGGCTGGCCCAAAGCCAAGGCGGGGAAGGACACCTGTGAAAAGGCCGTCCAGCCACAATGCCGAGGATGTTGCGCCAACCAGCAAGGCTCGCCCACGCAAAAGGCCTGCAGCAGCGGCTAGTGCGGAAGACACCAAAGCTTCCCAGGCCGCATCAGCAAGCAACAAAAGTAGCAGCAACAGCAGCAGCAGCGACAGCGTCAGCACTGACTCTACTTCAAAGACAGATGCAGCCTACGTTGCACGTCCCGCTTTCAGCCCTCGCAAGTTGAGGCTGGAGTCTGCCACAGAGCACGATGGTGATGCCTTCGCTGCACCGTCTACGATACCAGCCACTGTCATGACGGACTGTAAAGACCTGGCTGGCCTGTTTGGCTTCGCGCGCAGGAATGTGAACCGCATCACAGAGGACTTTGACAGCAATGCCTTGCACAATCTGGCCCGGAACCTCGATGGATGCAAACTACTCAGCTTGTACTCTGGCCTTGGCGGCGCAGAACTTAGCCTACTCAACTGCTGGTCGGCCGTTTGCGAAGCAATGACAAGCCACGGGAAGCCACCGGAAGCATTGCCCAGCAAGCCTGTCTTTGCGGCCGCTTGCGACATCGACCCCTCTTGCCAGTCAGTTCTGACTCAGCACAGTGATCCCCCGGTGGTCGTGCCGGACCTGTGTGCTTTTGTGCGGCCGGAGGTGCTCACGGAGTTGCAAGGCCTTGTTGACAAGGCGAAGGCAGAGCGCAAAGCAGCTGCGAAGGACAAGACCGAGGTGTCCAAGAAGAAGGGCAACAAGAAGTCCCAAGATCCTGCCAACGATGGAGGAGAAGACTTGCTGGCGGCCATGATGATGATCTTGCGCCCGTCAGCCTTCAGGCGCCGAGTGATGTGCGTGGGCAAGAAGGTGTTGGACGTGCAGGGCCTCTTCAACTGCAAGAAGCTGATCCTCGTTGCT